CTAATAATTCTACATCGAATAGTCCTGTTGAACGATTACATTCGACATTAATAGAGAAATTAAAAATATTAAAACTTAAAGATCCTGAGGAAACCGTAGACAATTTGATGAGATCGGTTGTTTTAAATTACAATCAAAGTATTCTACAGGCTTATCTCCTTTTAATATACTTTATGGTCCATATTATAACGAACCAAATATTAATAATGACATAACGATATATGAACAATTTAACGAAAAACGTAAGCAAGAAGTGAATATCTTTCATCAGAAAATTTATGAAAAAACTTATGAGAAGCAAAAATCTAGGACCGAAAAACAAAATCCGAACCCTGATTTATTACCTGAAATTACTAAGAATCAAATTATTTATAAAAAAAGCGATCGTCGAAACAAAGCTCTCACTGCTTATATTCCTATTAAAGTGACAAAAAGAAATAAAAATATTTTAGAAGGACAATTAAAAACCAACAAGCATACAAGGGTACATTTACGAAAAATTAAAAGATTAAGAAAAAATCCTTCTTTACAGGCTTGTGATGCTGGTCCAAGTTCGACCAATGAAAATCCTGCCATTACCGAATAATGGGTATTACGCAGAAGGAATTGGGCACAGTTTAGTTTTAGAAACTTACCATACAATGTATATTTCATTTAATCTAAGTACCATTCGAAATACTTTAACTAACCTATATATTAACCAATTAATTATAGAAAATCATTTAACAAAATCATTTCCTAACAACTACAATTTAAGATTTCAACTATAAAACTCATTTAATCAACTTAATAATGCATTTAACAATTCATATAAAATAAAGCATGCTGAAAATAATGAGAGAAAACGAAAAGGTTTATTTAACTTTTTAGGCTCTTTAATAAAATTTAGAACAGGTAATTTAGATCAAAACGACTTAAGCGATATTAACAGTTCTTTGGAAAATTTAAAATTTAATGAAATTAAAACGATGCATAAAATAAATCAATTAAGTTCATTTGCTGGACATATTACGGAAAAGCTTCATCACGACATTTTAGTTGTTTATAATAATAGTCAAATACTGAAAACAGCAATTAGTAATGTTTGCAATCTGTTAGACTTATCTATACAAATACAAGATCATTCTCTCCAAATATTCATAGTTGATTCTTATATAAATAAATTAGTAAACGTAATTACTTTCGCTATCATTATTAAACTGGACATTGGAATATTTAATTTGAGTGATTTCAAACAAATTTGGACCTTTATGAAATTTCATTATTGTTCTTATCAGTTGTGGCCCCTAAAGCAAACAATAGGGCAATTTTAATTAAGATACCATTATTCACAAAAGACTTATGTACATTAAATATTGTTTACCCGATTCCTTCGAACAACAAACTAGTCTTGCTACCACCAAGTAAATATATGTGTAATGACTCTTGGTTCGAAGAATGTAAAAACGTTAATAATCAATGGCTTTGTGAAAAGGAAATTATTAACTCTTGTAGTCTTAAAAATTGTATGTATGCTAAAGTAATTAATAATTACGATGTTGTAATTTTTACTCAAAATCAGAACTTATTACACTGTACCACGAATGCTATAGAAATAATAGAAAATTGCAATTCTATTTCAAAACAATATATAGATAATTGTAATATAATTCAAAGTGATTGCGATATTATCATAGGAACTAAAAGATTTTCGAATATTGTTTATAACCTTAGTGTCAAATTCAACAAACTAAGTTCCATATTTGGTTCTCCACCAAATGCTAATAAAATTATACGTTTCAACTAAACCATCTGAAGGAGCCAATAAAAATACAAGACGATTTACTAGAGCCAATTGAATATAAAAATTTTAATACTGAAACTGTAACTCATTACTCTATAACAACTTGTATTATTTTTATTATTGTAATTCGCAATGTAATAATTTATAGAAAACATATTCGTAACTCAATATCTAGGAAAACTCTTCAAAACATAATCAACGAGGACGTTGAAAATTCTTCAGGAGGGAGGAGTTATAGGCCCAAGCCAGTCCTGTATGATGACACATAATCCAAAGGACCCCATAAGTAAACAGGCTTATCTTCAATAGTAATTAAGATATCGTCATTTTGAGTTTAGCTTAAGAATTGTAACAAATACATAGTCAGTTAATATTCTGTACGTCTAGAAATAAGACCTATATTCTAAATAAACGTTTTTAAAAAGAAGTTTCTGTACTTCCGAAACATAATTTGCGTGTAATTAGTAGAATTTTTGTAGCGTATCCAGTGACGGATTTTTATCTAAAATGCATCGCGATATTCTAAATATTTGTTAAATGGTCCCGGAAATTTTGGTAACTTTAATTCCGGTAACTTTATTGAAAAGGCAAACCCTAAGTTTTGTGGATTATTTATTTGCGAATCTGAATTAATAGTTGTTGCATTGGAAATTCCAGCGAAATATGCGGCTTCAAATAGTTTTGCTTAGTTTTCTTTCGATATATTCGGCTTGCTGGTCTGCAACCGATATACCAATATCTTCATTACTTTCAAGGACGTATTCTATATCATTCTCATACGTGAAAATTTATCAAATAGTGGATGCGCCCTTTCTAATCTCGAATTTAACTCATTTAATTTGTGTTTGTCAGTAGCTTGGAGATCTAGAGCTTCAAGGAATTTTTTTGAATCCTGTCAAGCTAGACTTTACTTGACTGACTTGACCGCTGTTTTTAAGGATTTTTTATCTGCCGATTCCTAATAATATCCTGGGTCGACAAGACCAAAAATAGGTGCCAGTTTCTTCAAAGTATTATAAAAAGTATAATCATGAGGCACTGGTTCTGCAGAATATAACTTTATTGGAAAACAGAGAAAACTTAATACACAATTCTTCGACGCCGGTCAGTTCCTTTAAATTTTACGTGACGATTGAAAATGAGAGGAAGATAAAAACAGAGAGCGAAAATAACCAAGAGAGTTTACGTCTTTTTGTTATACTTTATAACGGAATGTCCAGGCTTCAAGAATGAGCTGTACATTAGCGCCATCTGTTTACTTTACCAACACACATATTTCAAAACAATCGGGATATTCTACACCCACGCTGTATCATACGTGACAGTATTTAAATAAAAACGTTTTTCTATTCCTGTCTTTAAAATACCTAATTACACACCGATCTAGCGTGCACATCAGTTTCGTTTCCCACGGATCCGAGTCAGTTCGGACATTTCCGGGATTTTACCGCACGGGTTTGGGAGCAATCGGATGTTTTCGGAGATATTTCCCACACCTTGAATTTTGACGTTTGTCAATTCTAAAACTCAATTCAAAAACTAACGGTCGTAGAAAAAGTATAGTATGTAATATTTTCGGTAAACTTTTCAAGTCACTTTATTAATTATGCAGTTTTTAGACCAAAATATAACACATTTTCACCTAATAATTCTAAAGACCTGTAGTTTTTAAATAATATGTGTGAAAGATGTCTTCAAGATTCGTGAGATTCCTTGTTTGTTGTAGTTAAATCTATTATTTCTTTTAAATGTCAATTAATGATAACTTTTTTGGTTTTGGTAATGTCTTTCCAGGAGAGCCCTAGCAGTGCCGTAATTGGCATTTGTGGGAGTTCAATAACTAATTATATTTTTCGGTTCGCCTTTAAGAGAAGTTTCTAAGTAATAAAACCTTTGTACATCGGATAAAACACTGCTATTGTGAAAAATCCCTTCAAACAAATTGTTTGCAAGATCGAACTATGTATGTTATGGAATATGATCGGCTTGCTTGGGTGTGACTTCTTGAGTTCACACTTGGGTTTCTCACCTATGTTTTATTTTTATATGATATAGGAATTTGTTTTCTAAACTAGTACGTTGATGACCTTATAATCTATCAATTCGGAGTTTTGTGTCAACCATATTCTTTTTAGCTTTTTTAGCTAGCCTTCGGAACGAACTTAATTTCACAATTCATTGTCTTTCTAAATCTCCTCTTATACGTTGCATGAGATTATATAATAATATTGTCAAAAGTGATAGCTGTATTGACTTACTTAATACTAATTTAAGATGCTTAATACAAATTTAAGAGCCTTTAAATAACTTATTATTGAGATTGCTCTTCGCGTATTCGACTTTCTTATCGGTCCTTAGGGTTATATATTTTTTCAATAGTGTTATTTGTTATTTTAGCGTTGTTTGAGTACCTCCGCCAAATGTAATTGTTCTTTGTTTCTAAGTCGCGTTCCTCTATAATTGGTCTGCCCGAAATAAATAAATGCAGTTAGTTATTTCTTATTGTCATTGTTATATAATTACGTTTTTTTTACTAAATAATGTAGAAAATATTTATAGTCAGCAAATTAAATTTATAAAAATAGTTTGTTATTTACAAAATTCAAAAAAAAAAAATATGAAAATGGGATTTTTTATTAGATGATTCTTTTTATTATCTAACCCTAACGGTCTCAAATTTCTAAAATTATTCGTTTAACTCAAAATTATGGATATTTTTCACAAAATGATGAAAAAATGTTTTTGATAAAATTTTTATTGAATAACTTTTGTGTTAGTTAACTCGATAATCGATTTATATTATTTATACAACAATTCGCAAAGTGACAGTAGTGACTACAAGTGTAGTGTAGTGCCCGATTTTTTTTTCTTCTATGCCTTCATGGTCAATAGCCAAATAGGCAACCTCATACAAAGTCACCCTTAAATAAGTCTTGGACATTGCAATTTGGGACATCCGTTATGTACGCAGTTTTCGGTTTGAATTTGGCTTTAGTTTTTTATGGCGATAAGATCTCTCTTAAGAAAATTATTTTTTTTTATTAAACCTTTCCGTAACATTTTACTTTTCACATCAGCTAATTCCGCAGATTGAATTAATATCAAAACACATTTTATGCGGTGCTAAACACACTTTATTTAATAATAAGTTATTGGTGTCGTAGTGACGAATCAGCGCAATTTTGTTTCCAAACATTTAATCAAGTTTCCATGTCAGTTCGCCACATACAGTGCAGCGGGATCCAAAAATTGATATGGCCAACGTGATATTTTTTCTGCTTTTTGCCGGTAAGATTAAAGTTTAATATAATATATATATATATATATATATATATATATATATATATATATATATATATATATATATATATATATATATATATATATATATATATATATATATATATATATATATATATATATATATATATATATATATATATATATATATAACTTAATTCCAAATCATACATGGTGATTCAGTGTTTAAGGCACAAACTGAAATGGGTGACAGATCTCATCATTTTATGCTAAGAAGTCCATATAAACATGCGTCCGATCGATCAGTGGAAAGTTACCGGGGGTACCACAATTTTTTCTTTTCAATAAAATATCTTGCTAACTTTTAAAGATACCAACTTGAAATTTGGCGTGATTAATACCAGACGATCATCATTGAAAAAAATAATAAATCCACACGGTAATACATTTCTGGCTCTAGAGGCTTCTTTATCTCCCTCCTGACATCCTTCAGTTAGCAAATTGGGTGCCTCGTTCAATTTAAATTTGATTTTTTTTTTCGAGAAACAAAACCGTTTTCGAGATGAATAAACGTATTCGTTCTAAAAAATGTTAGTTGTTAGTTTGGTTTCCCCGAAAAAAAATGCAAATTGAGCGAGCCACCCAATGTGCTAACTAGAAACTGTCAGATGCGTACTACTAAAACGTTTTGGAAAGGAGAGGATAAAGAAGCCTGTACTACCAAAAACATATCATCCTGTAGATTTCAAAAATCTTTAAAATGATAATATTTCAAGATTACAAAACTTTGATCCCTGTACCTTCGTTACTGGTGGAGATAGTCATGTTCATATATTTTTTTTTTCTTAAAATGATGAAATCTATCACATATTTAATTTTGGGTCTCGAAACCCGAATCACGCTACGTACAGGGTGTTTCTGTAAAGCCAACGAGGTACGACATTAGGGAAATGGACGATCCTAGAAAAAAATATTTTTTTAAGTAAGATGGTCACCAGGAGAGGCAATTATTATCTTGGATTTAAAAAACTTTATTTAAACAAAAATTAAATAGTTAAAATATTTACAATCTTAAAGCTGACAAAATTTCAAATATTTTTCAATGCTGTTTATGCATTTAATAAACTTGGAACCGTTAAAAAGGACTTTTCCTTAACTATCCATCGTGCTATGAGTGATGCGGTTGTGATTCCTTAGGTGGAATTTTCTGATATAATTGCAAAATGAACAATTCTTTTAAAAAATGCAAAGGTATTAGTTTTAACGTCATTAAACAGACAACCAACAACCCAGTGAAAACCGCATCTCAATATCTTTATCCTAACCTAAAATGTGAATAAAAGTACTTAAGACCTAAGAAAAGTTGGATTTTGGGAAAATTTTTCACTTGACGGGTAAAACGCCAATTTAATATTTAAGATGCCAAATGATATTTAAAATCAAAATAAAATGTTATTGTGTTTTTATTACTATAACACATTTGAAGAGCGCCATATTGCTCCGACATTTCTACGTTTTCACATGCCGAGACGTTTTGAAATATTTAGTAATATCATTCATTCTTTAATTAATAATTCGGTTAAGTCAACTCAAGTCAAACTAATCAATTGTTAAACACTAAAAAAATTTTTTCGTTATCGAAGTATTTAAAGTAGTAAAATGTGTATTGAATTATTAAATATTTTTCCTCATTCTTTATGCATCGATTTCTTTTAAATACAATGAGTTTAAATAAGACAATTTCAATGCAATAAATATTTAACAAACTTAAAATGATTACCATGGTAGTCTATCAAGATTTGACAAGCATCTGAGAACGAGATAAAAGACGCATTTGGTCAGACACAAACAAGATTTGTTTTTATGGCAATCAGAAATAGGATGTTTAATTCACTTTTTTAATGGTTTCTACATTTTGGTTGTGGGTCGATAGTTAATGAAATTAATTAATCCCAACAAATGATTGGGTGATTAATTCTAATGTTTAATGAAAAAATAAGTGATAATACTAAATATTTGTAATTTTTTAATTAGCAGAAATTATATAAAAAGTAAAAAACATTAACATCTTATTTTGATTTTAAATATTATTTGGTATTATAAATCATGCGTTTTCATATTATTTAGTAAATTCGCAATAATTAGACATCAATAGCAACTAGTAAAGTAGATTTTTTCCTAAAATACAACCTTTTTTTAGTTCTTTAATTCATATTGTAGGTTAGAATAAAGAACTTGAGAGGCGGTTTTAACTGGGTTATTGGATGCTTATTTGGCTCTCTAATGACATTAAAAAAAACTCGAATCTTAGCATTTGCTCTTTTTTGCGATTATGTCAGATTTGAATTTATCTTCACTTTAAAATAGTACGTACTTTAAGACACTTAACAACAGAAGTTCTTGTAGAAGCCGAGTTTTAAAATTCAAGACAGAATTGCACCCCTTGGTGGCCATTACAAAAATTCGAAAATTCCAGTATTATGTTTTGGCCGATTTACTTATTTGTTTTTAGTTTCCCAAAAGTTATTTTTATTTTCCTTGCTTTTTTTTTTCGTTTATAGCACTTCATATCAAAACACGTATTTTTAGATAGATTTTTAATTGACTCGATCATGTCGTGAGAAATACTCCGTAATGAAATTTAGAAAAATGTTGATATGCGAATTTTTCTGACGTTCAGTCCAATGTTTTTAATATTAATGTAATTATTTTAAATTCAGCTCTGCAGTGGAAAAAATAAAACAACATTTACAATTTCTTTCCGTGAAATTTAAATCAAGTGGAACTATGTTTCACTCAATATATGTTGTTCTATATTGTATATCCATGAGATTATATACATAATAACAATAAAAATTGAAAATATTTAAGTTAGGCGATACAAAATGTGAAACAGTCAAAATAAGGACGTTTCTGTAGAGTTCGATTTTTTTCGCCATGTTTCGCCGTCATGCATTTTTGCAATTTTGCATATTCATAGCAAGTCACCTTTTTTACCTTGCTAATTTCGAGAAAGTGGGTTATTTCCATTAACAAATGACATTTATCTATTTTTCCGTTAACATTTTTAATATTCGTTTTTTTTTTGCTGTATTTTTTAAATTTTAGTGCGACTAAAATAAGGTAATTAATGCCAAATATATACCAAAGGCAAAAATGGATAGATATCGCCAATTCCAACTTGAAATCATTAAAATTATTTACAAAATTCTGGATTCCTCCTGCGTTGGTTGTTGAAAAGAAACATTTAAACTCTATACACCATTGAAGTAGAAATGTATATTCTAATCAGACTGATTATCATTCTGTTTACAGAAAACCTACGCGCACAGACCGATACCTTAATACATTGTTACATCACCATCTGGCCCAAAAATCATCGGTTATCTGTAATGAAACTGTTTAGGCGAGTCACTGAACCCAGAATTGAAATACCTTACATGTGCTCTTCTATCCAATAATTTCCACATAAGAGATATTAAGCGTTCCATCACAAAATACATTTCACCACAACCTCCCAATAGCAATGAAACCGAAAGCAATCCCACACTTGCAACTGTTGTCCTTCCTTATATTCAAAACATCATTGACCATATATCAAAAGTTCTAAAGAAATATAACGTCAAAACCAGATTTACCTCTTGTCCAAAAATCTCTCAACATCTTCAATCCGTCAAAGACAAAATTCCATTTGAGATGTCAGGAGTTTACAGCGTTCCATGCATATGCGGCAAAGAATACATTGGATGGACGAAAAATATCAACTAGGCTCAAAGAACATGAAAGAGCCTTAAGGCTAGGACAAATAAACTCGTCAGTAGTTGCCGAACACAATCACGAAACCGGATTTCAAATTTTCTTCGATAAAACTAGAATTCTAGCATGTAATCAGTTCTTCTACCAACGGAAAGTTCTAGAATCTTTAGAAATCTACAAGCAACCTAACAATTTTAACCGCGACCAATACGGAAATAAGTCATCCGAGACAATGTTCTTGCCCCTCCGTTAGCTCCGCTCCCTTCAAACAATATATAAAGAGGTACAGAGTAGAATGCGAACCGATTTCAATTCGCTGTGGAAGTTCTTTGTCAAATCATTAAAAAAAATTATTTATTTATTATTTATTTATTGTTAGTAAAGCAGGTACATCTATGATACAAATTGTTTTGTAATTAAACTTCTTATTTTCAGCTACGAAATATTGTTTAGTAGAATCACTACTGATAAAAACTGACCAAGGAGAGCAAAAGTCAGTTTCATTAGATGTTCAGTTTGGCAGACAAAAAAGAGATATTTTAAATGATTACGTTTTGCAGAAGAAGAAATCATCGGAACAAAAACCCGCGACAAAAATGGATATTCGAGCACTCACAAAACCACTAAATTTAGAATCTATAAAATCAAAATGGAAATCTTCAGCACGAACTAATTTAAAACAAGGGACTCTGAGGTAAGGCATATAATGAAAGTAAAATAGCTTCTACTCCTTTCTGTAATATACCCAATTATTCACCGATCGTGCGTGCAGAAAGTGTCACTTTACCACATGAGTTTCTTGTCTCACAGATCCGAGCCGCTTCGGTCATTTCCGGGATATTACCGCACGGGTTTGGGAGCAATCGGGTGTTTTCGGGGATTTTACCACACGGTTTGAATTCTGACGGCTATGTCAGTCAATGTATTCATGTTGTTTTTCAAAAATGTACCCCAAAACTAACGATCGTAGAAAAAGTATAGTATGCAACACGTTTGGCAAACTTTTTAGATCTTGTATATGTATATCATTCGTGAAGTTTTAATTGACACTTTGAATTCTACATTTATGTTATAAAGTTTATTCAAAATCAAATTCATATTGTGAAATGCTGAGCAAGAATACGAAAAATTCAAATATTTGTTTGAATCAATAGCTCATATCCGCCCCAATAAATAATGGAAAAGTTAGAAAGTTACACTTTTAAAACGAACGAAATTTTACAAATAAAATAATTTATTTCTTAATGCAATAACTCTTCTCTAATTCAAATTTTAAAATTTTTGTTCTGAAACTTTGCACTAAAAAACCATCCCAAAATGCAAAATCGTTCCCCTCGACGGCATTTAAACAACTTGGACCATGAAAATTAGAGTACATTTTTGCGCAACGCAAGCTAACATTCGTCTATTACAGCTGAAGAATATGAGTTGAAGAAGAGAAGCTGGGCTGGCACTTGAGTCGTAACAACTGACACATTTTGTTAGTTTTTCTGCTTCTTTTCCTACTTATACAATCGCAAATGATTCTGATGAAAAACGCTAGATGAATATTGTGTTAATGCAGGAAATGTGGGTTAGTTTTGACAACACGACTGCGAGACTCGATCAACCAAATTACTTAGTACATAAAAAGAACTGATAGTAATTTTCGGATTGGCTTGTATAAAGGAATTGTAAATCTTTTGCCGATGAAGGGATATTGAAAACTATGACCACTTCTTGTAAATGGTTTTCTGTAGTTATTAAGTTTATAGTCTGAGATTTTCGTTTTGCCAAAGAAGGCAGAAGTAGTTGTCGTGTTTAGTCGTCACTAAAAAACGGAGGTTCTCTTTGAGAATTGCATAACAAGCTATTACACTGGATTTAAACGTAATGAAAAATTACGATACTTTTTGCGCACTCTTTGTTCATTATCCTAGTTCCAAAACAGTGGTGGCGACTAATCCACATCAGACCACAAACGTAACACGCAGTAACATTATTTATTTATTTGTCAAGCTGTATAGTATTATTAATAAATTACAATTTAGTGAAAAACAATAACAGTGGCAAAAAGGATTGAGCCTCATTTATAGAAACCGGTCGCACAAGCTTCAAGCACGTGTGGCGCAACCCTGTATTTATCAAATCGATAAAAATGAAATGCGAGAGGCAAATTGTGTAACTGAGAGGCCCCTCATATGACCGGGCAAGAATTTCTAAATTCGAACTGCATGATTTTTGAAAAGCAGCCGTTCTGTGCTTAGGAACCCTGAAGTCATTAACATTTCTAGTGCCATGCCATTAGTCATATTCAGTATATGATTGCTATTTAAATATATGATTACGAAATGGGATATTCTAAGAAAAACGCAAATAAGAGTTTGGAACTTTCTGTATAGCATGAGCTGTGCAAGTATTTAGTGAGCTCCGATAAACGACATCCGCGTCATCAAACAAAAACAAGATCAGATTACCGCACAAATAGTATTTAGTGGTAGCGGGCATTTTTTTTTAAATCGTACAGCTATTTTAAACGCATATAAGCAATTTTTGGTTTGTTATTAATATGTGATAAGAAGCATAAAATTTATCAGTAATTACTCCTAAATTCTTAGCCTCGGTAACGATGGGTAAAAATCCATCATTTATAGAAGTTTCAAAACTCCCCGTTATTTTATCGTCAATATTTTTATTATTTTTATAAAAATAGACGACTACTTCTCCAACGAAATTTGTTTTCACTTATCTGTCATACCGTATTATAATTATTTCGCGCGTTGATCGCTACTGATTGCCGCACGGTACTGTCCCTCGCAGCCGGTCCCTACAAGTCACATTGGGCTGCCTTGTTTCGTCATGGTGAAGTTATTACGCACACCTTACTGTATCTTACATATATCGAGTTGGTGAACTATGCGTCACATTATTACCAAATAGAAGAACACAAACGTTAGATGTATTGTATTTGAAGTTATTGTCTATAGGTTAGACAGATACACGATTCAAGTCAAGATCGAAGTTTATTGGAGAACGTTTTAAGTTGGAAAAGAATTATAAATTTGGGAATCATCGGCATATTGTTGCTTCACTGAATATTTCATACATCTTCTACATAAAGACTAAACGATAAATGTCCTAAAATCGAACCTTCAGGCACTCCAGTGGTAATTGAGCTACAGTTAGATTTTTCTAGATTAATTTGATTTCTGACTTCAACACAATGCGATCTATTGCGCAGATATGGACTTAACAGATTCAGCTGAGAAACCGAAATAATGAAATTTTTCCAACAAAATATTGTGATTAATGGTGTGGAAAGCTTTACTAAAATCGAAAAGCGCCAAATAGGTTGCTTCCTTCCTATCTTCATTGCGGCGCATGTCATTCAATAAATTAAATGACTGCTAGTTGTACTAAAATGTGATTTACACCCTCATCGAATTAATGTTTTTGGGCAAATTTACAAAAGTATACATTTGTTGGTAGATGTGCCTCTATTATTTTTGAAAAAAACTGGAAGTATACTGGTTCGCCTTAGATTTTTTGGCTCACTGGGGTTTCATATTTTAGCTACTGGTTTTTTAATGACCTATTTCCAAAAATTATGAAAATAATTAGCCAAGATACAGCTTTAATAATATTTATTAAAGGATTCACAGAGTATGGAAGACAGAGCTTGACACCTTTTCTAGAAATGCCGTCTTCTGTTCTGTTAACACTCTGTAAAAATTCATCTTTTCTAATTAAACTAAAATTTAGATTATATATAATATTTGGATGCACATTTCAGTTGTATTAACCATTTTAGTGCACGATTCGAAATACTTATTAAGTACTTTTGTTTCGATAAAGATTAAGTAAGTCGTTTTGCCTCGTCCTAAAAATCCTTTCCTTAAATTGCCGCAAGTTCTTTAAAGTAAGAAATCTTCTTCCTAATAAGTGCATGCTTACTACTTAGTACTAGGTTCCTTGTAGGCTTGATATCTAGCTGGCGTTTCATTTTTAATATATTTTAGATGCGCAAACTGCCTTTTTTTCATTTAAACTTTAATATTATCGGTTTTCCACGGACTATAGTGATTGATCAAATAAATTATATTATTATTTAGAATTTTTAATTTGCGGGCTATATTTTCAGTATTAAAAATTAAATTCCATTGTAACTGTATTGTGTCCGAGTGAAGTTGTTCAAGATTTATATCATCATAATTACGGAATTGATAATTTTGGGGCTACTTTGTTTTTTCAAAAGGTTTAAGGTTACCTGTGATATAATTTTTCTAAAAATAATGTTATGTATCTATCGCAACAATGCGTAAAATAATAAAACTGTATCTCCCTCTGGTATATTTGTACTTTTACAACATTTTCCTAGTCTCTGTGTTTTCCGATTTATTCATACAATTAGACCGTATTTTTTCTAATGGAATTTTTTCTACAGTTCTCCGTTTTCTCATAAATTAATACAACGTTCTTATTTTATATGGCAATCATAGTTGGCTATGGTCTCAAAAAATGCCCTTGTCGGGTCCTTTTCAGTTATATAGATTTGTTGGTATTTATGATGAGGAAAGGCAGAAATATAATGCATTTTTTGTATATTTATTAGTAGGCCATGCATAATATGTTCAAAAAGATTAGAAACTTTTAAAATAATTTAATAAACACTGGAACCTTAAAAAAGACAAGGCCAATTTAAAAAATAACTTAAGTGAAAAATATGAAACCTAAGAACCATTTAATATTTTAATTTTAATTTTAGATATTATTTTTAATATTTAATTTTAACATTTTTGGTTATTCAAAAACCAAACTTATAGTTATTTTAATTTAATAAGCAAATCATAATAAATATTAGAATACAAAATATTAAAATTCAAACTTTTACATTAATTACATTGAAATATTTTAAAGTAAATGTTCAAATTGGGGGCCGCCCTCTTCAATACACTGTATGCATCTTTTTCGTACTGAATGGCAACTATTCACTTACTCTGTAAGATTCATGGAAGCAAACGCTTCTCGAGTGACTTCCTCTAACTCCGCTTTGGTTTGGAAAATTTTATCTTTACTTTACTTTTAATCTTCCTCATAAAAAAATCTAGAAGAGTCAAATCGCATCTCGTAGGCCACTAGAATGGGGCCTCTAATTTCAATCCAACATTGTCCAAATTCTTCAACAACACATGTTCTCAAAATATTTATATAACCATCCGCCATCACATTTTCATTAAAAAAATAAGGACCCACAAATCCACCTGGGAAAATTCCTAATCATACCGACATCCCCTTTATCTATTGGTGGACTTTTCTGGTATCTGGTATCATAACTTTAGTTTTTCCAGCATTTGTTGCGTCAGCTAGTGCCCGGGAGGATTTAGTTGGATTTTCCAATACTTCTATAATTATATCCAATTCCTGGATTTCCTGTTTTTTATTGAAGTGGTTTTGATTTTGCCTCGACGTTTTAAAACTTCTAAAATTGGTTTAATTATTTTATAAAATTCGAAATTTTCGCTTGTCTGGTTGGTGCCGCGTCCTTAGCTGACATTAACGGGTATGTACACGGCTTGCTAATACATAATCCAAAAATGCCCTATATTTCCGCCTTTTTTCATCACAGATTCCAACAAATCTATATGGCTAAAAAGAGCTCGACACGAACATTTAAAATTAGTATTCATTTATGAGAAAACGGAGAACTGTAGAAAAAATCTGAGTACGCAACTGCATTTGCCTTAAAAATGTCACTCTAATGGTTTTATCCGAATCCAAAATTTTTATAAATTAAAAAGTTATGGCCAATTTTTAAAAGGGATGAAGAAAAAACGCCGAAAAACGAATGAAAAACGCCGGCTATTTTAACCAATAAATGTTTCTGAAAAATCAAATTCTTGAGATGTAAGTGAAGTTTGCTTTATTTAGTTCAGAAATATGTTTTTTCTGTTAAAACACTCTAATTACGACCACCCTGTACAGGCGACACTGCGACAAATTTCATGACCCTTTTGATTTTTGAGATAAGAGATGTATTTGGAAGCATTCCATTTTCGGAAACTTCTCGTATCTTGGTTATTATAAAGCTCATTGGAAAAGTAGAAACCAGATTTGTTATCAGCTTTTTGCGCAGTGGCATACTAAATATTTTCTGTCCTTAATTATTTTAGAGAAATAAGGCAAACTTATTTTTTTATAAATGGGTCACCCTGTATATTTTTAGATAATACGATTGAGTTCGTCAGGAGCATCTCAAAAATATATAAAGCTCTGTGGTTGTTTTTAATATCAAGACTTAATATTTAAATTTTGAGAAAGAAACGTTTTTTAGAAATTCTTTCAAAACTGGATTTAGTTTATAATCTAACATCATTATGAACTTCCATTTTCCCATATTTGCTAAGTCATTGGCTTTCTTCGTTTACACTTTAGCATTATATTATTTCTTTATTCATGCATAATTTTCTGGACAGTCTTTAAACTGATTCCTAGTGCTTTCCCTACTATTTCTAGGATATTCGTTGGTGATTTTCATTTTAAAAAATGTTTATCAAATTTAAAACCATTATTTTTGCTTCGGGATGCAAAAAAACGAAAATTACTTTTTATCTTTCACCACTTAAAAATTTCAAAGTCTCCAAAACTGACAGCTGTAAGTTAAAAATGTTTAAATCCTCTTCAAGTTATAAGCTTATACTTACTTATATCATACATTTTGGTTGAACAGTACAATTAAACAAGGTATATGAAAAACAAACGCAAAAGTTTGTCATTGACCGGCAAAATAATTCCGGTTTTGACAATCTACCTAATTATTCCATAGGGCCCAAGATATTTAGATTATTTTGCAAATTACATTGTGCCAGTAGTATCCCACACAAAACTAACCCCAAAACTAAATTTATTGAATTTCTCAGGACATTTCAAAATGTATTAAAATAACCACTGTATTGGCATTTTTCATGAAACAAATATGTCAGTAATGTCTACACTGAAACTCAAAATTAGTAGCAATAGCTATTTTTACTAGAGTGGCCGGACAAAAAAAAAACATTACTTGTATGCTAATAGTATATTATGCAACAAGTATTGCAAACCGCATTTGAGTCACGAATTTATTGGGCACGAGCGGATGCGTGTGTGCCCTTAATACTTAAAATTAGCCGAGCGAATGCTTAATGAATGAGTGGCCTAAAACGTTTACCAAACGTGTTGCATACTATGCTTTTTCTACTATCGTTAGTTTTTGGGTATATTTTTACAAAACATTTTAGTTTAGTTTAGTTTACTTAGTTTGTAATACATTCATTGACATCACCGTCAGAATTGACAAACATGAGCCGTGTGGTAATATTTCCGAAAATATCTGAAGTGACTCGGATTCATGGGAAACGAAACTGACGTGGTAAAACAACACTTTCCGCACGCTAGATCGGTGCTTAGTTGTATTTTAGAGAAGGGAGTAGAACAACAAAACTCCCTTTTTTCAAAAAACAAATCCAATGAAAACATTGTAGTGAAGCTTGCCTATTTTTCTTCACCTTTGAAAGAAAACTTACTTTTTTCACTTGTGAATTGATTTGATTTTGTCATCATTTTTAATGAATTTTAATTAAATTGTGCTTATAGATTGAAGGACTTTGAAAGGCGTATTAAAGAGCTTAAAATAAATGCCAATCCCAGATTACGCCTTCAAGCTCGAAACGATTTTCCACCTGTCGATATCAATGGCATCGAAAAAATGAAAACGAAGAAGGAAGAAATGGAAAACTTGGTAAACAAAGCACGGTTGAAACTGGCCTTATTAAAGAGCAACTACAGCAGCAACGGAAAGAATCGTCTTGGAGCTTCGAAATTTTCTATGGAAGCTAAGAACGAAACAGTCGGCGATAAGAACGTAGTTGAGGCATCCACTAATGTACCTGCTATTGTAGTGGGACACTCAACTACTATGAAGGAACCCGATTCATCTCAAACAGTGAATGAAAATGTTACCAAAAGTAATTTGCCATTTAACGGATCACATGCTATCACATTCGGAATAGATGCATTAAAAAATAGACAACAACAGACAGTCGCAAAAATTAAAGATAAAATAAAGGGAGTCAAAGGCAAAGGAACATTAAAAGAATTTGGAATTATAAGCGACAATAATGATATTCCTAAGAAATAGTTCTAACATAGTTAATTAAAATTTATTTAGTGTATTTAGAATACCTGATGCTTAATTATTTAGCAATTTCTTAGTATTGAGGAAATACAGGTCAAACAATTTTGGCCGTTTTTTTACCAGATTATTTTTATATTGTGTAGTTCGTCTGATTTAGTTTTGATTTTGTTTACCAGTTCTCGTCGCCGATCGACCCTAATGCGAGGTCGTTTAGATTCGAATACGTCCAAGAAATTAATTTTATAATTAATTTATTAATTATTGGCCAAATTTGTTAAAGCTTTCGGGGTCATTTGATGAACTGTTATTCTGATTCTGGTCTAAAAGCCGTCATCGTTTGTAACTGCTTCCCAACGCTTCGCTAGCACAAATGGCAAACTTCTTCATCTCAAATGTTGAACGTAGACAGACAAATATTCCCGCGCAGGTTGTACTTATGCCGATGGATGGTTCAGCATCTGCTTCGAGACTCGTTTCACTTCGATTGATTCTTTCTGCTTCGGTAGATCTTGAGATATCGATTTGCAATGCTCGGGCATTCCTAAGGATTGGATTCCAGATCGCATTGAGCTTCAGGTTCTACTTCTTCGATTTATTGAAGTTTTTGCTCTTTGAAGGCCAATGAGAAGTGATATTGTTTTCTTAAAAAAAAATAGATAACCGCGAGTTAAATAACACGACCGACGGAGTACGTTTTAAAAAAGGTTTATTTTCGAAAAAACAGGGCTTTTCTTAAAACTAAAAACAAACAATTAATGTGAACAGCGAAGGGGTTTGACACTACATTAATCTTACACGGGAAATGGTGACAGTCGAATTTATATGGCTGAATCGTTAATTCAGTGTCTATTCAGCAAGATGCGCCCGGTCTAGGGATATCCTCCCTTAGATTCTTCAACGTCCTCGTTGATGATCCTTTCCAGGGTTTTGACAGGGATGGTCTCTAGGAGTCTATGTTTTCTCCATTGGTAGAGCATGATGCTGGAACTAGCCACAATAGTGAGAAAATTAAACAGTAATATTTTTGGTTTTGGTGAACCAATCCTTCGATTTTTATCAGCTCTATAAGGTCCTTTTGAGTAAGGGTTGGATCCTCTAAGTTTTTCATTTGTAGATTTATAATGAAGTTGCTTGGTTGAAGATTCGTTGTTTCCGGATACTGAATGGATATATTAGTTATTCCCAGGGAATGCTTTTTGTTGTTGGCTCTGGATCAGACAGCAACCTTGAAGACGTTCTTTTTGAACTGGAAGCAGATTTCGTATACTAGTTTCGACATCTTTGCACAGAACAGTAAAGAATTTTTAAATGTGATAATATGCACAACTGGTCCGAACACAACCATCTTCAATTAACCATTTGGCAATGTTTATACCACAGGTTATTTCAATATTATTTACTAGGGCTAATTAACATTTTCGAATCGTTGTTGGGTATCGGATACATAATTTGTAAGGCGCAAACATTTCTTTAGAAACTAGGTATTTTAATTACAAGAATTGCCATTTCACTCGTAGTTACCAAACCGGTTTTACAAATTATAGTTAATTCAGAAATGTGATTAATAGATCATAGGGCATTTTTAGGGTAATGCAATTTTAGGTATTTCCAAATTTCCTTTATCTCGTCAGAGGTTAAATATTTCGAGATGTAAGGTTTGTAAGTGCACAAATGAAAATAGTCTTACCAGATTTTCTAAAAAATTATTAAGGTTACTTATTTGCACTTGTTGATAATGCAAAAGTAAAACTAGATTAATTTGTTCATTTTCTTTGAGAAGTTCGGACCTAATAATGTTGGTATTTTGATTTATAAGTTCTACATTTCGTTTGAACTTACTCATTATATTTCCAGCAAAAGAACTTACATATTGAATTTAGTCGATTTTGCTTAAGTATTTCTACATTTTGCATAATCGTTTCCATGTCATTAGTATCGAGATTTCCGGTGATGAACTTAATACCCTGCCAAGAAAGTTCATTAATCCTCTTTTCTTACGGTTGTTAAACTCATAAATGTTGAGCTTTGTATAAGTATGGTAAGTGACATTTAATGCCCTATATACGTGATGGAACTGTTTCCTTGTAAAATTATTATTTGTTCGTTTACTACTTCTCTAAAATCAATACATTATTAAGTAAATGGGATAATAAATTTTTAAAATTAGTAATTTTTTTCTAAGGCTTTTAATTTTTCGTATATGCGCAGAGGTTGTTTCTGTTTTTGGAAATGTTCATTAATTTGTTTTCATCGACGTTGGTCGTTTTTGTCGGTATGTACTGAGGATTCATTTTATTTCTAACAGTCGTTTTCTTTTAGATTATTTCATCACGGTGTAAGTTTGGAGGTGTTTCACGGTTTTTATTTTGTTTTTTGGTGTTATGAGATTGTTTTTTCGTTTTCGTTGTATTGTTCGAATAACGTGAAATCATTGTTTATATTAGGTTCGTTAAAATAGCGGCCATAAAGTATCCATTTGTGGAGTGAATACTTTGATTATAAATGAGGACTGTGGAAATCATTAGATTCAGGGGAGTCTCTTCCGGATTTTTAGTTTTCTTAATTTCTGAAGTATAGTAGAATGAAGTTTTTAAACGGGGCTAATTGAAGAAGAGTTACCGGGCGTTGTATAGTTTTCGATTTCGATGTTAAAAAGTTGACAAAATTCCTTAAACAGATTATTTTGAAATTTTTTCCTTGGTCTGAAACAATTTTTTGCGGCGCGTTGCGATGCGCAAAGAAATGTCTAAGATTGATAAGAATTTTTATCCGAGATAAAATATGCAGAGCAGTGGGCCTTCGTATTTATTCTGTAGGCAAATCTCGCACTTGTAAGTTTTGGTCAATAATATTTTTGTTTGAGATTATGATACGTTTCAGTTACGTCACTATGATTGCTCTGGTGACACTTGGAAATAATGTCTTTTTGTTGCTCAGGGTTGGTTACGTCTGTATTGTAAGAATTTGATAGAAGGAGTTTAGCTGAAGCGTTTAAATTTGCGGAGACTATTCTTTAGAATTGGACTTCAAGTTCGTGATTGGGAATAAAAATAGTAAAATTGTCAGCAGGTTTTATTATTTCTTTTATTATTTTCTGGATGTGCTCACTACTGTCCTCTTAATATATGAACGAAGTGGTAATTTTTCTGAAAAAGCTTGGAGAATTTATGTTTGTTTATATTCTTAGCTATAGTCGATGACTACGCGATTTGTAGCGAAATTTAAGGGTTGGGTAGTAGCGTTGACGGTGTCGGTTGTTGTATCATTATATTTTTCTTTAAGAACGAAATTGGCGAAATCGAAGTCACTAGGATTGGCGACTGCATCGTCGACGTTAGGGACATTTGATCGGGCGTTGGTTGCATCATTGGTTTGATGTTAAGGTCTATACGAGAGAGTGTGTCGGCTATGACTTTATCCTTACCTTTTTTGTATTTAATTTCAAAGTTGAACTCTTCTAGTTTTAATTACCATCTTATTAACCTAGTATTAGGTTCCTCAATTTTCGATAACCATATCGACAATTGATTGCTTGAACCATGATCGCTTTCTATTAGAAATTTTGAACCAGAAAGTTAGCAACGAATATGTTTAATGGATTCGACAATAGCGAGAAGTTCTTTTTCCGTGGTACTATAATTTTTCTCGGGGGAGTTTGGGGTGCGAGAGTAATAAGGTATGGGACGATCATTTTGGGATAAGACGCTGCCCATATTAGAGGCATCAGTAGTTAATTTGAAGGGTTTTGAAAAGTCAGGATACTGAAGGATAGGAGAGTTACTAATAAGTTCCTTGCTTTTTAAACATGCCTCTTTGTAATGTTGGTTTCCAATACAATTTTCACTTCCCTTACGAAGACATTTTGTCCTGGAAATATAATTTTGGAGAAGTTTTTAATGAAACGGCGGTAGTATTCTACTAATCCTAAAAATGCCTTAATTTATTTTTGTGATTTTGGTATGGGGTATATTTGAATGGCTTCAATTTTTTAAGGGTTAGATTTTATATCTTCAGCGGTCATGATGTGTCCCAAAAATGCAACTACTTTGCACAAAAACTCGGATTGGGCGGGTTGAATTTTCAGATTGACTTCTTTGAATTTTTTTGAAGATTTTTCAGATATTATATATATATGTTCGAAAAGGCATTTTGAAAATATGACAACATCGCCAAGTAGATGAAACAAAATTGGTATAGATAGTCCCGCAATATCTCATCCATCATCCTTTGGAAAGTGGTAGGGGCATTGACCAGACTAAAATGCATACGTAGGTACTCGTAGTGTCCATTGTTAACAGTAAAGGTGTTTTTTTCAATTGAGTTGGGATCCATTTTAATTATGTTGAACCCTTGGGCAAGATCGAGTGTGGTAAAGTAAGTACATTTACTCAGATTATCAACGATCTCTTCGATGCGAGGTAAAGTTTTTTACCTCCAAGGTAACACTATCGAGGCCACGATAGTCTATGACCATGCGATATTTGCGTTTCCCAGAGTTTCTTCGGGACAATCCGGATGGGTACAGGATATGGGGAAATAGAGGGTCGAGTAGTTTCTGGATTTGGAGTTGAATTTCAAGGTTCATACTTGGTGGGTGTCTAAAGGATTTTACATAGACTGGACGTTCGTTTTTTGTTCGAATGACGTGTTTAGTTTGGCTTGTAAAAGTAAGATCGCAATCCTCGTGATACATAATATTATATTAATATTTGTGGCATATGGGCAAGAGTTTTGGTTTTTCTAAAGGCGATAGTTGATCAAGCCTTAGTTGACTTTCAGGATTAAATTTCGATGGGCGATCGAACGTGGGATTTAATAACTCGAATTGGTCCTGAGGAATAACCCTAACCCTTTGGTGGAAATTAATCGAAACGTTTGCTACCGGGTTTCGAATTTTGCCAAATCCGCCATTTAATTCGACTAAAGAATTAGGAACTACGTGTTCATTAATATGGAACGAAGGAAGAAGAGCAGTTTCATTTTCAAATTAACTGATATTATTA